CTAACGTTTTAGGGTGTTGTAGCTTGCAGATATTTGTTGCCTGTTACTCTTAGGATGACTTGTGTTACAGTGACAGACATTCACAAGAGCAAATTTAAAGATGCGTGTGTTTTTAATTATTTAGCATCGCTGCTCCCTTTAATGTAATGAGTGACATCACCACATTAAATGTGAACATATATGAGCATGTAGTGTTTGCCACAAGACATTATGAAACTTGTTCATTCCAAAGTAAGTGCCATAAAGTTTTAACTATTATCTCCTGTCAAACATGTCAGTCAGCCTTCCTGTTTGTCAAACACTACAGTTTATTTGCTCCACAGAGTTCCACAGAATTGGTTGCTCGTTGCTAGGAAAAACTATTTGCATTAGACATTTTCCCTTGGGCAGTTTTGTTTACCATATGCCACAAAACACAACGTATGTTGTCATTGCTATGAAAATGAAACCCAGCTTTAGCTATCCGTGCAGCCAGATGACACATGCAAAATTTAAGCTATTACTTATTAGACATAATGACTGGGATGACCACTAAATTCAGACAAAACTGAGGTTATTTTAAAAATCCTAGAAACATGGTGTCTAACCAGGTGGACTTGTTTTTGACCAGGATATCTTCTTCAGTGTGCACATTAGACAAATATACATATATATATTCTTGCATTTGTGCAGAATCTCTAAAATTAGAGTAAATAATCAAACCCCGTCTCATCCTAAAGACCTCATAGTAATCCAATAGAGCACTTCGCTCTCAGACTGCTGGCTTATTTGTGGTTCATAAGGTATTTAAAAGTTGAATGGGAAGCAGAGCCATCAGCATTTAGTTCCTTCTGTGAAACCAGTTCTCTCTGTGAGTTTGTAATTGGGAGACAGACACCCTCTGCTTTTAAGATTGGTCTTACAACTTTTTTTTTTTGGATAAATCTTATAGTTAGGACTGGATAAGTTGACCCTCAATCCACTCTTAGTTACACTGCAACAGGCCTATGCTGCTGGTGACTTCCCATGATGCAATGGTTCTTCTTCAGTCACCTTTTTTTTACTCACTATGTGTTCTCTCTGGATTCACTCTCTAGATTTTAATTATTACTTATTATTAATCTCTGTCTTTCACCTGTCTCCCACCCCTCACCCCCAACTGGTCGCAGCAGATGGCCTCCCTGAGCCTGGTTCTGCTGGAGGCTTCTTCCTGTTAAAAGGAAGTTTTTTCTTCCCACTGTTGCTGAGCGCTTACTCATAAGGCGTTGTCTGATTGCTGGGGTTTTCTCTGCATTATTGTAAGTACATTGAGGCGATTGTTGTCGTGATTAGGTCAGATTATAAATTAAACTGAACTGAATTAAATTACAGTGCCAACAGCTCATCAGTGGCTTGATGAGACAGAAGAAACACCCCTACAGACTCATCACATGCAGAACAATTGGTTTCGTTTTCTTTTTGTTTTAATTTTAAATGGAAAATATTTTTAACACTTTTATTCAATTTGTCGGTGGTTGATTTGATAAATTGATAATGCTTTATTGATAGCTTTATTTATTTTCAAATGACTCTAGCAGTTAGCAGTAGGCATCACCCAGCTAACTCTGTCCATAGTTGCTGAAACCTGGTATTAGCATCTCTTAAACTTGATCTAGAATGTTAACGCTTTCATTTTGTACAGAACATGAAATGCATGGAGAACAATTCATCTTTCGCTGAAGGACTTTGTCATTCAGACACAAATAAAAGTTCTGAGCTTTTCTATTTCTTTCTTCTTCTTTTTTTAACCTCAGTTACTTTGAATTCAGTTTTGCCATAGGCAAAAATATTCTATTGCAACAATAAATCTAAATGTTTAAAGTCTTTCTAACTACACAAAAACAAATACTCATTAGTATCACGGTATCATGGCTGCAGTCGTGCTCAGTCATACATTGCACAAACAAAGTGAAGCAGGCACTTAAAAAACCTGTGGTTCAAAACCTGTTGATGTAAATAAAGTGCTCCACTTATATGAAAAGGCTTCTGAGGATTTTTTATTGGAGCCTAGGGTCTTAATCATATCCATATGTGTCATTTCTACTGAATTCCTTGCAGAAATTACTGTGTAAGCAATCAGTCCTCTAATTAGACATTTTATATAATTTATCAACCACATTAAATAGGACCGCTTTCCTGTGTCCGGGCAAGAGCGTCATATATTTGTGTTGTACACTCATCGGTCACTTCATTAAGAAATCTTGCTGCTATCTTGATTGAGCTCCTTTTTCTTTTAGAACTGCACTAATTCTTCATGGCACAGATTCAACAAAGTTTTTAAAACTTTGATTCATACTGACACGACAGCATCACACAGTTGCTCCATATTCATCATCTGCACATCCACGATGACACTCTCCCCTTCTACCACATCCCTAATCTGTTCTGTTGGGATGTAAATAGTCAGCAACTAATACTAATATTTAAAAAATAGGTGAAACATTCAGGTGGTTCATATTTCTTGTGTCAGATGTAAAAAAAAAACAAAAAACAGACAGCGTTCTTTTCAGAACATTTTCACGACTTGCTCGAATCATTAAGTCTGTGAAGGTTCTCAGTCATCCAGGTCATCGTAGTC